ACGAGGTCAGGAGATCGAGACCATCCTGGCTAACATGGTGAAACCCTGTCTCTACTAAAAATACAAAAAATTAGCCAGGCACGGTGGTGGGTGCCTGTAGTCCCAGCTACTCAGGAGGCCGAGGAAGGAGAATGGCGTGAACCCGGGAGGCAGAGCTGGCAGCGAGCCGCCCAGCTTGCCACAGGCACGCCTCCCCAAGCCCACAGGTTCCGAAGCTGGGGGTCAGGGGCCCACCACACAAGAGGCCGAGCTTGCAGTGAGCCGAGATTGCACCACTGCACTCCAGCTTGGGTGACAAAGCGAGACTCCATTTAAAAAAAAAAAAAAAAAAAAGAAGTGGGATTTCCAGTGAATATTACTTTTATTTGGACTGTCTTCGCCCACCCCCATTATTATTTTTAAACAGTAAAATAGGTACTACTTATTTAGTAAAAATAAATAAAAGTTTAAAAATAATTTAGCTCAACACTGACAAGAATATTGTCTAAATCCCTTCTTATCTATAGTGATTTTCAACCAGAGGCAACTTTGCTCCCTATGGGACACACAGCAAAATCTGGAGATGTTTTTGGTTGCCTCACTTGGGGTGGAGTGCAGGATGAATACGGCGGCAAAGAATTTTGTCGCTCAAAATGTCAGTCGTGCTGCTGCTAAGAAACTTTGAACTATACTAATCTCAGATAAACTGGTTTATGCTGTGTCCAAATTTCTTTATAGAGAAAGAATACAGTCTTACACGAGCCTAGGTACATCTTTTAAATAATTACATAATTATTGATAGAGTTTGGATGTTTGTCCCCTCCAAATCTCATGCTGAAATGATCCCTAGTGTTGAAAGCAGAACTTAGGGGGAGCTGTTTGGATCATGGAGGTGGATCCCTCATGAATGGCTTGGTGCCCTCCCCATGGTGATGAGTTCACACAAGAGCTGATCCTTTAAAAAGCCTGGCCCCTCCAGGCCACCTCTTGCTCCCTCTCTCTCCGTGTGTTCTGCCTGCTCCTGCTTCGCCGTCTGCCATGACTGTAAGCTTTCTGAGGCCCTCACCAGAAGCAGATGCTGGCACCACGTTTCCTGTACAGCCTGCAGAACCTTTTCTTGTAAGTTAGTCAGTCTCAGGTATTCTTATACAGCAATGCAAACAGATTAACATAATTACCCTACCGAACTTTTAGAGTTAGCAGGTATCTCTTCACAACTTGAAAGGGTATAGGAATGAAGCTTTCACAAACAAAAATATTTTGGTGAATCAGCCTTTTGATACATAAAATACTATCCGTTTATTTTACATTATAGCTACTTAAATATAGTAACCAAAATGCATGCTAGATTTCCTACCAGTTACATAATCTACCAGCAGAACTATTAATTTGAAATAAATTTTTTAAAAGGCAGAAAAAGAAATTTAAAAGAGAAAGGGACAGAAAGATAGGAGGAAAAAACATTTGTAGGTACACGTTAAAGCAAATCTACCACGCCATAATGGATTTCTCTGTTGGTTACGATACTCTGCACAGGTTGAGTATCCCTTTTCTGAAATGCTTGGGATCAAAAATGTTTTAATTTTTTCAGATTTGGGAATATCTGCATATATATAATCAGGTATCTTGGGGATGGGACCCAAGTCTAAACAAGAATTTGTGTTTCATACACAGCTTATACACATAGCCTAAAAGTAATTTTATACAATATTTTAAAAATAATCTTGTATATGAGACAAAATTTGTCGTAAGTACTTATGTGTGGAATTTTTCCACTTGTGGCAGGCATCATGTCGGCACTCAAAAATTTTGAATTTCAAAGCAGCTCAGATTTTCATACTAGCAATGTTCAACCTATAGTATAATGGCAAGGAAATTTTCTATAATAGCAAGGAAATTATTCAAATAGTGTATATAGCAAAATACTTTAAGAACTTGACTAGTAATGCATTTGGGAAGAGAATAGAATTTTGCTTTCATAATGACATTTTCCAAAAGAAACCAAAAATTAAAAACTAAAATTGTTTCATAGTATAGTGTTCTAAAAAACTTAAAAACTGTGATAGCAAGGACCATGTCATATACGTGGCACAGGTCTGTGCCAGACACATAGTAAGCATATATGGATAGGTTATTTCACCTCTGTGCCTCACTGTAAAAGGGAGGTAACACAATCTAATTCATAGGTTTACTGTGAAAATTATCTGAGACAATATACTTAAAGTACTTAGAACAGTGCCTAGCACATAGCAAACATCAATAAATGCTGGCCAGCTATTATTATGCATTAACTAAATGAATTAGCTGAGCTAGCATCAGACATGTCTTTTTTTTCCCCCCATTTACTTACGTGCAGTATCCCCTTCTGGAGGCTGATAAAAAGAAAGGCCCAATGATACTATGGCTGCAATTTCTAATATAATTAAAGTGACATCTTGTAATGCTTCCCATACTAATTGAAGAAAGGTTTTTGGCTTTTTAGGAGGTATAAAATTCTTTCCAAACACTGCTTCTCTTCTTTCTAAATCTGCAGGGTTTCCACTTAAACCTAATAAAAAGAAACAAATTTCAGTGAATAGTTTTACTTCTTACAAATGAAAATACATATTTTTATTCAAAATACCTTAACTCATCACTCTAGATTGTAATTTCTAAGACCCTACCAAAATGTTTACTTTCATGCTTTAAGTGTACAGAATTTAAATCACTGAAAAACATGTGCAGGTCTTTAAAAGAACACTTTAAGTAGATAAGTCAGGACTGGACTAAGAATTTCCACTTTCCCAACTGCTTATTTTTGTTTGTTATTTTGCTTGTTGGTTTTTTAGGGACAGAGTCTTGCTCTGTCACCCAGGTTGGTGTGCAGTGGCACAATCTCGGCTCACTGCAACCTCTGCCTCCCAGGTTCAAGCGATTCTCCCACCTCAGCTTCTCGAGTAGCTGGGACTATAGGTGCATGCCACCATGCCTGGCTAATTTTTGTATTTTTAGTAGTGACAGGTTTTCCCCATGTTGGCCAGGCTGGTCTCGAACTCTTGACCTAAGGTGATGCACCTGCCTCAGCCTCCCAAAGTGCTGCGATTACAGATGTGAGCCACCATGCCCAGTCAACACTGCTTATTTCTGATCATACTATCTTATACCATCTTGTATATGTTAGCAATCAGAACTGTTATGACAGTTCGATGGTTTTCATATTGGAGTTAAACATTTCCCTGACCTTAGGATACCACCTTCACAAAACTGGGAAGTTTATATAAAAATACATATATATACACACACACACACACACACATATATACACACACATATATATGTATGTATATTTGGCTTAGTTATATAGATAAAGACATAGATTTGGTTTAGTTATTGCACCCTGGACAACAGTGAAAGGCTGATTTTTTACTCTCATTTGCTGAATAACAGTGAAAAGTTAATCTATCACAAGCTCTAAAGGCTTCTCTAAAATGTCTCTGTCAGATTGATAAAAGATTCGCAAAGTCACATTAACACGATACTTAGGATGATCTTCCTTAGAAGTGATAGGTGGTGCTATTGAATGTACCTATTGTCACTTAAGGTAAAAGGTATATTGTAGGACATATACTGTATGAGGTAACATTTATTGTCTAGACTATGGAATTAGAAAGATATGAGGAGGTTAAGACAGCGCTAGTGGGATGAACATCCATTTTGCCATTCCTTCACCCTACCGAGTAAGTCTTTAACCTTGTTGATCCTGTCAAACCCAGATATATCCCGATTAGTTAATGCAAAGTGTGTACATATGTACATTATTGTGGGAGTGTAACAGTACAGACAGCAGTGACAAATGGTATTTTTCCTTAGTCTGTGTAAGAATGCTAGAGAAGCCAGGCACAGTGGCTCACGCCTATAATCCCAACACTTTGGGAGGCCGAGGCGGGCAGATCACCTGAGGTCGGGAGTTCAAGACCAGCCTGCCCAACATGGCGAAATCCCATCTCTACTAAAAACACAAAAATTAACCAGGTATGGTGGTGGGTGCCTATAATTCCAGCTGCTCAGGAGGCTGAGGCATGAGAATCGCTTGCACACAGGAGGCCGAGGTTGCAGTGAGCCAAGATCACGCCACTGCACTCCAGCCTGGGGAAAACAGCAAGACTGCTTCCGAAAAAGAAAGAAAGAAAGAAAGAAAAAGAATGCTAGAGAAGAAGGCAGAGATAAACAGGATAATATCATTTTTAACTTCTCATATTAAATCTAACTTCAATTTGTGTTTTTGGCAAGAGCCTATTCCAAGAGAACATCAAAGGAGGAAGACAGGAAAACAGCAGATTACTGTAAGACTCTCAGCTTTAAGTGCTTTAACTATTAATCTCACTGCTTAGGCAGGCAAAGAGTAGAAGAGGGAATATAAATACATTATTAGAATAAATAATGAGAAATGAACATATAGCTTTAAAGTAATTATCTACTTCATTGAAGGATTCAACAAGATTCCAAGATTTCAGAAAACTATCTCACTAACTATAACAGGGTCCATACTGGGCAGTACCGAAAGTATTTTAGATTTCTCAGTTGGGAAAAAAAAAAAAAAAAAGACTTATCAGTTGAAAGCTTCCAAAGAGCTCTAATCTTTCAGAGTCAATGGAAAGCAAGGCAGCAAAGGACTGCAGTAATAAGGATGAGATTAGTCTATGGGTAGGTTTGTCTTATCTTGTGTTTGAATGCTCTTACTAGCAAAAAGAAAAAAAAATGGAGATAGTGGTTGTATCAGCCTAACTCACAGTGTATAAAGACTACCATTTACTGAATACATATGACATACCTGTAACACCTGATAAATATCACCACTAAAAAAATAATTGGCCAAATCTTAACTTATATTGGTTATAACAGGGACCAATATTTTGTTACCACTGAAAAGAACAGTCACAGAGCTAAAGATAGCTTTAAAACATATCTTGAAGAGAGTATGGGAAGTAAAGGTCTTAAATGCTATTGTAATTCCTCTAAACTACCAACACACACAAAAGCACACACCTAGGACACTACACCAATAAAACTATCTGGTACAGGAAGTAGAAGACCTAGGTTCCAGTTCACCTACTGAAATCTTGTGCAAGTCACTTAACTCTTTGGGGGTCAAGGGAGGGCACTAATATCAGCTGGCCAAACTTACAAGGTTGTTTTGAAGAACCAAAAGAGAAGGTATACACAGTTCATAAATCATAAACAGGCCAACTCTTAAGTAAGTGGAACACCAATTATAAACTGACTGAACACTAAAGTAATGTATTAATTCAATTTGAGGGACAATTAATTTCTATTAATAATAAACTTACACAATCTAAATATAATAAAACGAACAGTTTTGTAACAATAGTCTGTTTCCCAATAGATATTTACTGAATGTTTACTACTTCTAGGGATTGTTCTACATGCTGAGGAATCAGTGTGAACAAGAACATTCAATAAGTTTATACTATCCTGGAGGTAGACAGTAGACAATTAAAATAACTACAGACAAGTACAATGAAGACAATAAAAAAGGTCCACTAGAACTCTCTTACTGGGCTACTTTAGCCTTTCTAAGGAGCTAACATTTGGCTTCAGTCTGAACCTCCAGGGGTCAAGGGTGAGAAGACTTTCGAGCAGAACATTCCCAGCAGTGCAAAAGCAAATACAAAGGCCCAGAGATCAAAACAAGATTAGAAGATTTACTAGCCAGAAGCAAAGCCACTGTAGCTAAAACCCAGTGACCCAGGAGGAAAGAAGAGAGGGTCAAAATGGAAAAAGTGACCAAAGGTAAGAACATAGGGGCTAGGGAGAGGAGAATGGCATTCTCACCTTAAAGTGCAGTGAAAACCATTAAAGCAGAGTGGTGGTAACTACTCTGGATTTTAGAAAAATCACATAAATTGCTATCTGAAGGAAACTGAAGAGAGCAAGAGTGAAGGAAAGAGGCCAGTTGGGAGGCTGCTGCTTATAAAGTATAGATGATGGTGCCTGAATTTCGGTTTTAGAAGTGGAGGCAGAAGGGGATAAGTGGATTTGTCAGGTATTTTGGAAGGAGATCAGACAACGTACTTAAGGATTGGATGTAGGATGAAAGGGAAAGGTTTTTTTTTTTTTTTTTGGCGAGGGGGCGGGGTCTCCAAGCACTTAAGTGAGTGGATGGTAGTCATATTCCAAGACAGGCGATTTTGAGAACTGAAGAATTAGGAGGAAAGGGGAGGGAGGAGTTAATGGTTCTGTTTCACAGATTTAAACAAAACAAGTGGAGGTGTCTAGTAGACAGCTGGCTCTCCATATTCAGAACTCAAGGAGAAGTCTGAGCCAGAGTCATCAATTATATTGATTCTGGAGCCACAAGCCCAATGAGAGCTCTCAGAAAGTTAAAGCAGATAAGAAGGGAGCTAGGCTGAGGCTACAGCACTGGAGCACCCAACACTGATGTTCAAATAGGGCAAGAGGAGTGCAAGGCACCTAAGAAGAAACAGCCAATGAGGGAGGCAAGGAAGGCAGGGGAGGAGGGGAATGGAACAAAACAAAACATGTTCAGGTACTACTACAGAAGCCCAGAGACGAAAAGAGGTTTTAAACAGATGATTTGGCTGACTATGGCAAATGATGTTAAAAGGCTGAGTAACAGACCAGAGAATGGAACACTTTCTTTCACTAGATAGAGGCTGATGACCTTGTAAGGAATATTCCAGTGCACTGGCGTGGAAGAAAGTCTGATTAGAAAAGAGCTGAACAGAGAGTGGGAATGAGCAAGTGGAGACAGTAAGTATAGATAACTTTTTCCAAGAGTGTGATCCAGTGGGCAGAAATAAATCAGTAAAGATGAGTTCAAGTGGGTTTTATTTGCATTTTGTTTTTTAAAAGTAGGTGACAGACATTAAGACAAGTGACTTAATGACAATGATCAAGTGGAGAAGACAACACTGATGATATAGGAGACGAAGGGTAATACCACAGGTATTCCTTCGAAGAGGCCAGAGGCCTTGGAATTCAGGGCTGCAATGTTTGTCTAATAAAGATCCAAGAAGAGGCTTCTACTGTAAGGAGGGAGAAAGTAAAGTATGCGATACAGCTAAGCTGGTGGAAATGGCAAAGAAATTACTGGTCCTAGTTTTAAAAAATATAAATGATACCAAACTATTAGGAATAACTTATAAAACATATAATGAGAAATCTTCTGCCTAATTGGCTCAGTTAATTGTAGAGTAGTGGCAATGAGGCCAAGGTCATGCATGGAATTGATCTTCTTATGGCCCAGTTAGCTTCACAAAGAGAAAATACAACCAAAACACATCAAAAGTAGCCTCAGAATTATATGCTTTTAGGGTCTGACTCCATCACTGTTTGGAGTAATAAAAGTCTGTATTTGATCTATGACTAGATAATAGCTCAGAAGTACTGTCTTTATATTTGAAAAGAACATACTATAAAATAAAATATCATTTATATTAAGATCTTAATGTTTTACAAGAAAATGTAGCATCCCAATTGCAGGGACTAATAAAATTATGTCCCAATTTAGGAAATAAAGTGGGGGGA